GAACATTCTAGTCACTAGATATATCTACGGGCTTACCTCGAAGCTTAACGAAGGTTTTGGATATTTTCTGGCAAAACTTCCGGCTACGATAACTCTTAGCTCCGGTGATTCCACACCAAATTGACAGCACCACAACACTCCTTACACTCAAGGCTACCTCTTAGAAGAAATTTGAGGGAGAATGGTGAAGAAATGAGGAAGAGAGGTCTTCCTTATATATTGGTGAAGAAGAAGAAGCTAATGGAGTTGAGTCAGTGGTGACTCACGATCGGCGAAATGGGAAGGTCGGCTGATTTAGTCTGATTGCTACGAATCTTCCCTGATTGGGACTAATTTGGTCCGAGTCGGGGTACACTTTTTTTTTCCAACTTTCTCCGAATTGAATTCCGTTTGCACCGTTGCGATTGGACAGTTAAACTCTATCCAACAATATAATTTTTTATATTTGTTGGTTATACTTTTTCTGACATCATATTTTTAGGTGTTTGACTTTGACAGAGTAAAAATTGATTTAGCTGATCTTTATTCAAAAAGGTTTCTCACATTTAATTCATATCATTTGTTCTAATGATTTATTTCAACAAATCATTTCAATATTCACATTCTAAACAAATTCTTTATTTACTCTTGATTTGGGTCTGTACTCAGGTTCCCAATCAAGACCTCACAAATAGTCCACATATTGGATTTATCTCTATGAGACTTATCCAGATTTTGATATTAGATGTCAAAACAAATTTAATATCGGCCCAAAGCCCAACAATAATTTATTTTAATTGAAACAATTGTGATTAATTGATTATTTATTCATTAATAATTCTAGGGTATGTTTTGGGGCGTTACATTTCTCCCCCCCTTAAAAGGAATTTCGTCCTCCAAATTCTTCTTAGGTTCAACGTTCAACGTTTTGTAATGATCTCACTGATCATGACCGTTTCATTATCATATGGTTATGTCGCTATCTTTCGGATACGTATTCTCAAGTCATTGATTTCACCAAACTCGTTCAATCTTTGAGAGATTAGCAATTTTCGATTAAGTAAGGTCTTCATTGATCCTTTGATGACAAAAGTTCCTTCATAGTGTGTAGTATTGCATACTTGACATACATAACTTCGTTCAGTTACGAGTCTTATCTGTACGTCCTTGGTTAACACAATCGATTGAAAATTTCTTCAATACTCTTGAATGTTCTATGATAAGCACAATTGCAGTTTGTTTCAATTCATACGTCGTAACGTAGTCTTTCAATTACTCAAGGGGTCGTTGTCTTCAGGGCAGTAGCCATTTGACTTTTCATCTTGGATTTGAACGTATTTCAGGACAGCGAATCTAACTGTTCATGAGTCGTGATACGTCATATCGTCAGCAGACTGTATTATTAACGAACACGTCATTGTCAGTAGGTAAATTGAATCTATCTTTGCTGTACAAATTTTGACGGAGGATAATTATTCTTTTTCAAAGGTTAGGTTTTCAGAGCCTATATATATCACGATTGTGGCCAGAGCATTTCACATTCTCATATTATGGAAAGAACTTCTCAAACTTTTCCTTACACCATAAAATTCGTTGGTCTAATTGGTAGTCATTCTCTTGGTAGAAATCCAAGGTTTATGACTACAGCGATAGATTTAGGAAGAGAATTGGTAAGGAGAAAAATAAGGCTTACATATGGAGGGGGCAACGTTGGCCTTCAAGGAGCTGTTGCTTCAACAATTTATACCAATGGTAGTATAGTTAGAGGCTTCATACCAGGGTACATAGCAGCACGACAGGTCTATGGTCCTACATACGGTGCAGAGTACACCGTTTCCAGCAATTACTACAAGTATTTTGAGATGAATCATGTGGTGGAGGCTTTCATCATACTTCCCGGAGGAATTGATAATATGGAAGGTTTGTTCACTTTGATCTCATGGGCATCTGAAGGGTTCCATTGGTCTCTTGAATATTGACGGTTATTTTAATAACCTAATCAAATTTCTAGATGACGCAGTGAGGCAGAACTTCATGGCTTCTAGTCAGAGAAAACTTTTCATTTCTTCTTTCTTTATTGATGAGCTTTTAGACAAGCTAGCGTTTTCTAAAGCTTTTCCAGGTCCTGGGGCTAGTTACGACGAGTTTACAAATCCTGGGAGATTAGACTTAGAGTTGCATTTGTAATATTACTTTATGTAATTTCATTTGAATTTATGTTGGAATAATATTGTCCATGAACATTATGAGTTAACCATAAATATTATTCTAAGTTGCATGGCCAGTGCAAGTCAGAAAAATATCTATTTTCAACATCATAACGCATCATGTAAATATCAACATTTTCTCAATATGGGTCAAATGAAAGATTTCATTATACAATGGTTTCAACATACGTAAGTTCAAGAAAATACGAATATTCTTGAGATACAAATCGAAAGATAATTTCTTGTTTACATAAGGTTTCTACATTATTCAATATATCCTCGAGCCCTTGTAGCACTTTAGGATCTTTACAGAGTACCATCCTTGGGTTGGACTCTTTGAATTGCTTCGTGTTTTAGAGCGTTGACTTGTTCCTGAGTGAACAGGTTGATTTCGGACAGAAGTAACTGAATATGATTCAGGGTTAGAGGGACATTCTCTTCGGAAATGTCCAGGTTCACCACAAATTAGACATAATCCTTGTGCAAGCCAGCAATCTCCCGGATGGTGTCTTTTACAAACATTACACTTTGGATGTTTCCATACCCTCATTTTGTTCATGGATGACGTCGATTGAATTGTCATTGATTTTCCCTTTTTCGAGTGAATGGCACAATCAATTTCTTGCAGGGGTCTCTTCCCATTTGAATTTGGTCGTTCATTTGGATTGACATTCTTATTCTTCAGACTTTCATAGTAATCACTTAGATCTTTTTCGGCTTTGGAGATTAGATCGTATGCCTCAATGAAATCCATAGTTTGAATAGTAGATACGTGCGGCCTGAGGTCAGGTCGAAGTCTTTTGCGAAACTCCTCAATGCGGTC